GGTCTATATGATATGATGTGATAGTAATGTTTCAAGGGATTGGAGACAATGATATTTAGCTAATAGTTATTGTAAATTGGAAGAACATATGCATAATATGACATGTATACAGTCACGAGACACTAACGTGACATTTCCGCCACACTTCCAATGTTTAAATTTCAACATACAAATGCGTATGTATAGACATAACACTACCCGTATACATACATATGTCATAGCCGAAACTTCCCACATATGTTTATATATGTATGAGTCCCGACGGACGACCAAGTATGTATATGTGTCTGAAGCCCAAAGAAAAAACTCCGATACGAGTAAACAACTAACAAAAGAGCTCAATACAACCGTAGAGCAGACCTAAATAAACGTAGTGAGCCAGACAAACCTACCAGGGTTTCACCTAAACGGATCGTCAGGGAAAGTAAAGCCTTACTTTCCTGACGATCCGTTTAGGTGAAACCTAGGTAGGTTTGTCTGGCTCACTAAATCTATCTATCTATCTATCTATCTATCTATCTATATATATATATATATATATATATATATATATATATATATGAATAAAAAAGACAAGAGGAAAAAATATTCTGGTCACTATTTAAACAATATTCATTAGTATAAAAAATATTTCTTGAATATTACTTGCTTACTTTTGCCTTACTATACTTTGAATTATAACACTTTGTGTCCTTCATATATTTTGACTGACCTTTCAACCACCTGATGAATATTCATGAACGTTCTCAAATTTAAAGCCTTGATAAACCAATGGCATCCTTGCTTTTGTAAACAAACTCGTGCAACAAAATAAATCCTACCATTTGCCATGATAACATCCCTGAAATGTTGACTTGCTGAAAGTAAAAATTAGATTTTAAACTTTCTAAATTTAAACTGTGCTTTACATTAATGAAATTAAAATTATTGAAAATAATTTCTTTTAATTTCGAACAAAAAAAAAAAAAACTATAAATACATGATGGATGTAATCTCCACTCAGATTCACGCACTACAGGATTATCAGGCGATGTCAAAATATTTACCGGATGCAGTTCCATTTAAACGGAAGTTAATCGGAACCATGTTTACGCTGAAAAACTATCCCGCCTTTTTCAGAAAAATTAAACATGTCCACAAAAACTCTAATATCATGCTTTAATTTTATGTAGTTATTTTTAATTTACGTCAGGTATTTTCGGATAATTCCTCTTTTTAACATGCATGTTTTTTCAATATTTTTTATAATTTCGTTGAATGTTAGGTTTAATCCTGTTCTACTTTGCATCGAACTGTTTCTATGGATGTAATCTTCTAATGTTAACTTTCAGAATCTCTATCAATAAAAAGCATGATGTGTGTGTGTGTGTGTGTGTGTGTATGTGTAACGAATGCACGGCCGCAATTTTCGACGGATTTGCTCCAAAATTTAAATGCACATGCTCCAAGTTAGCGCAAAGGCCAAGACCGACTTTGCATTTCCCAACTCCCATCGATAGTGGAAATAATCGATTTTGTCATGCTTCTAAGGCAGTTTTCATGTAGTTTATGGCCATTTTCTAATGGCCAGAGTGAGAGCCTATAGCTGGCTGCCACGAATAGGCAGAAAAATTCTACTGGCCAGCGTGAGAGCCAACAGCTGACTGACACGAATATTAAGTAGCATGCTAGCACGCAAAAAAAATCGACAGCTGCATTCGTCACAAGTGTAAAAAAATTTAAATCTGCATGGCACTTTACTCCAATTGGCTCATTCGCTTGATTAAACTCAACGTTGATTCTGATTCCGCAGAACTGAGTTTGGGTGTGAAAAAGTATTTGGTGTTGACATTCTTTTTTCATTCGGTTTTTCCAGTTACGAGTCCTTTTTTAAAGCTGATCGTTTTGTGTTCATTTTGTTTAGTTCTTTTTTCGTAACAGATTTAATGTTTAGTATAGAGCTTCGAAAAAATTCGCAGTGTGAGATAAGCAAGAAGTAAGGCATGTAGCAATATCAGCACGGAAAAGGGCACTCCTTTAAAGGCAAAGAAGGGCAAAAATATTTTTAAGTCACGATTACTGTATGAGTCGTACGATTTTTGAATCAAGCACGGGCAACGCCGGGCCATGCTGCTAGTCATTGATAAAATCGTTTCGAATAATGTGATGATCATACGGAAAAGATGTAAAGCATTTCCGAATAGACTTCTTTTTGAATATCAGCGACACTGTTGCATATGTTTACGTCATAGTATTTAGTACAGTAATTATCTAAACGAATACGTGTGTAGCAGCAGTACTATTTCGAGGAATTCTTAGAAATAAAGATAAAAAAAGAAAGAGGATGAGATACAACACTGATTATGATTGTTCTGGTCAGTCAGCCCTCCAGTTTTTTTTTTAAGTATATCATCCCAAGCAAGGCGGGTGTGCCAAGGGCACGCAAGGGAGTACAAAGAGTGAGAGCAAGAGTAAAGAGGAGTATTTGAGGAAAGGATAAAGAGAAAGACAGGGATCAAGATCAAGGCATCAGAAGATGTCGATTGACGATTATATCTATCAGGGAAGCAAGTAAGAGGAAGGGAGTTCCACTGCCGGGAAGGGCGAGAGAAGAAACTGTTGGAGTAGAAGAGGCGGCTACATCTAACCGTTTCTACATTAAAAGGGTGCGGCTGAGATGCCAACCTAGTAGCACGCTTAAATTCATGCAGCTGGAGTACCAGTGAAAGTAACTTGTCAAAGTAGTTACCATGAAAATATTTGTAGAAAAGACAGAGGGAAGCAAGAACACGTCTGTGGAGAAAGCGACTGTCGACGAGATGCTAGATCAGGACCTATGACATTGCATAGTTACCTTTTTTTGTCCGATTTAATGATTATTTCCTAATATTTACTCATGAGACAGAGTGCGAAATCACTTGTCATAATTGTCTCACTCCTTTAAAAAAAAAGCCATTTTAGGCCTGTACACACATAAATTTATAAAAGAAAATCCCTGTAGGTAGCCAGCCCGTTGGGCGACTGGTAGGACACTAATTCTAAATAGATTACCAATTCTCTGCAGACACTTGTGACTAGCTCAACCATCATCTTAACATTTTCGCTTATCCAGTTTGTTTACTGATTCTGTATACATTATATTTCACTCCAAATATTACTGTAATTTGGTAAGTATTTTAAGAAAAATCACATTTTACTACAGCAAAAATCTTAAGCTTTCAATTTCGCTTTTAATAATCATTATCTTAAAGGGACGAATTAGCTTTTATCTTACTGTTAAATACGAATTTAAATAATTAGGTGCTACTTTTTACCCAAATACGCTCAAATAATTTTTTAAAATACTAATTTCAATAAACAAATATTGAAAGAAGAAAATTTTTATATTTTGTAATTTAATCACTTGAAATTCAGTGATAATTATTAGTCTTATTCTACCTTGTAATACTGCTAATTAAAATACTTAAAGTATTGCTTATTACAATTTTTACAGGTACTTTTCGGTGAAATATCCGTTCGACCAAATGTCCGTTCGGTCAAATGTTTGTCGTCCAAGTGTCCGGCCACGGTTACTTTCTCTTTTAAAAAGTAGGATTCTTTAAATTTAAGTCGTGCTTGAATTTATTTTTATGTATAACTAACGGATTTGATAAAGTCTTGTGTATAAGGTCCCTTTTATGTTCATAGATATATCATTTTTAAACTATTGCGAGCAAGGGTCCTGGCAATTTATTTTATATAAACCTGTTTCAGAGTTATTATTGTTATCGGAGTTTTTAGTTCTGATCAGATCCATAATAATTTTGGATGTGGTTGTAATTATTTTGTTGTTTAGATTGGATAAAATATCTTTATTCATAAATATTTAAAAAAAAATCTAATGAACAAACCTTCGCGTTGCATAATAAAATCTATCAGCACTAAAATTAATTATTGTAAACATTTATAAAATATTAATATCATTATCATCCCCTGACTTTTGTAATCGTAGAAGAGATCCAAATACAGAAACCGCGTTAAATCTCCTCCACAACGGTCGATTAACGGCAGCCATCAGCAATTCTGGTACAGTCATACCTGGCCATTTTTTGAGATTGTCCAAACGGTTTTTGCGTTGGTGACCTCTCCTACAACCATCCTCAACGGTGCCTTGTATGATGGTCTTTTACACAGGCCGTCGTGCCTTGTAATGAATCCAAACCACGCCATATTTATCCGTTTGACAGTGGTGAGAAGAGGTTGCTGGTGGTCCACAAAACCTTCAACCCTTTTCCACACAAACTCCTTAGTTGTATGTTTGCAACAGAAGATGCCAAGGAGTTTTCTCATACATTTGTTCTCAAATGCTTGGGTTCTTCTGTCTCTATCTGTCAACAATGTCCACGTTTCACATCCATATAGGAGAATGGAGACTACCAGCGATTTGTAAATTCTGTGATTTGTTTGAACGATCAATTTGCTCCTCCATATCTTTGTCAATTTGGCCATAGCTGTCATGGCTACGGCAATTAGTCTACGGATTTCCGAGTTGCAGGTACCATCTTTAGACAAGATTGCTCCTAAGTATTTAAAACTGGACACTTCAGTGAATTCCCATTCATGGTAATGTTAACACAAGTATTACTGTTTGTGCTATTCACCATTATTTCTCGGAGTTGACCTTCATTGCATATGCTTCTACTCTTTGAAAAAAGTCTGTTGGTCAAGTTCTGGAACTCACTGTTACTACCTGTTATGAGATCAATGTCATGAAATGTTAATATAAGCTGGTATAAATGCAAGCATATCCTGACAATTTCCATTCATTCTCACCTGTCCCATAACAGAGACTTGTCATACGGTCACTGAGGAGTGGAGTAGCTGAATCAGTTCCCTCTGCATATCTGGTTTTGAAACCCGGAGAGAAATCATCCATCTGTCGTGTGTGTCTCGGGCGATTAAATCTGGAGGAGATCACCTATCTCCAGATCCAAACCGCAGATGTCCCCCAACTTCAAGTCTCGTTTTTCTTACAGACAGGC